GCGTTCAGGCTTGGAGTGCATTCCTCCTGCTTTCTCAGGAGTCTCGTGTTGCCCGCCTAGAGCTGTCTGTGCTTGGAAAAAAATCATTGTTCAAGTCACCACAAGATCTTTTCAACACTTTTGGTTATGAATCATAATTTGGGGGCAGATGCAGAGTCAGTAAGGGATGGATTTTTGGATGGTTGGGTTTTTTTGTTCTTTTCCTAAACACTGTTCCCTGCAGGTACCTCTGAAGAGCTGATGGCACAGTGAGTGGCAAGGACAGACACACTCACTCCCTGCTGTGCTGTCTGTGGGTGTTTAGACAATCTGTCTGTCTGGGAGCCGCTTTGGCCTTCTTTGGTGTGGAAGTGAGGGAACAGCAACCTCTGGGCTCTGTTCTTTATCCAGGTGCTTTCTAACATTCCCTGCACTGGTGGCAATGGGGAGATGGTCCCAGATGTGAGTGGCTGTTTGACAGGCAGCCTGTCCATCCCCATCAGCCCTGACTGCTGACCCAACCAAGAGCCCATCCACACACGAATGGAGCACATGCAGCTCTCCAGCCTCGGCCATGGGCTGCTAGAGGCACTGCTCTGCAAAGCTGTCACTGGGGTCATGTAGGACCTKTAGAAATGCCCACCTTTGGCATCCTACAAAAACCCAACAGCCAACATCCACAATCCAACCCACTTACCTCATACCCCTGGCTTCCTCCCTTCCTAAATCCCGCTTTCCAGTGCAAAACCTATCCGTGCAAACAGAAAAGAGGCATTTTTTGTGTTTCTAAAGTGAACACTTTCAGCCTGGGCTGGAGATTTCTGGGCCTGGAATCGCACTGCCCATGCCAGAGTCGAATTGCTGGGACCGGGATGCTGCGGGGTCAGGATGCTGCGGGGCTAATTGGGATGATGCGGGGCAGGGATGCTGCCGTGTCGGGGATCGGGATGATGCGGTGTCGGAATGCTGCGGTGTTTCGGGTCGGGATGATGCTGGGCAGGGATGCTGCGGAACGGGGATTGGGATCCTGCGGGGACGGGATGTTACGGGATCGGGATCGGGATGATGCGGGGCAGGGATGATGCGGTGTTTAGGGTCGGGATGATGCGGGACAGGGATGCTGCGGTGTTTAGGGTCGGGATGATCCGGTGTTTAGGGTCGGGATGCTGCGGGGCAGAGATGCTGCGATGTTTAGGGTCGGAATGCTGCGGTGTCGGGATGCTGCGGGGCTGGGATGCTGTGGTGTTTAGGGTCGGGATGATGCAGGGCAGGGATGCTGCGGTGTTTAGGGCAGGGATGATGCGGTGTCGGGATGCTGCGGTGTTTAGGGTCGGGATGCTGCTGTGTCGGGATGCTGTGGTGTTTAGGGCAGGGATGCTGCGGGCAGGGATGCTGCGGTGTTTAGGGTCGGGATGCTGCGGTGTCGGGATGCTGCGGGGCTGCGGCGCTGTGCAGCCGCTGCTCTCCCCACAGGCACGGTCCGACCCTTCCCGTTCGGCCCGAAGGCGCTGGAGAAGGGAGCAGGACGGAGCTAGGAGGACCCCGTGTGACCGCTGATCCCAACTACAGGCGGTGGCATTCCCGTACGGCTGCTGGGAACAATTCCTCTGAGAGCTCCTGGTTGTTATGGCTTTTTTAACTGTTTCACTGCGTCCCTTTTAGAGGAGAAAGGTGCCAGCCCTGGTCTCGCAGAGGACAAGACCGTGGCACTAATGTCCCCCAGCCCCTGCAGGTTTCCCGTTCTGGGCACGGGCTGTGGGTATTGCTGTGGGTATTGCTGTGGGTATTGCTGTGGGTATTGCTGTGGGTATTCCATGCCAGGGAGCTGCTGGCCCTATACCTCATGCCCAATGTGAAGCTGTTGAGTTTCTCCTTCAGTGGAATAAAATGGAGCTTCAGTGATCAGGGGGTTTCTTTCCAGAGCTCGCTGTGCACCACAGACTGGATTGTTTACCAGCTGGAGGATTAAATAGACTTTCATTGAAGGGAAAAAAAGGTATTTTCAAATACGTCTTGGAAGCAGTGTCTCCCTTGAAGGAGGCTTTTCAGACCTGCTGTGTTTGCTGTCTGGCACTTCGCTTGTCCCTGGTAAAGATGCTCCATTTCGCAGAGACTTCCTGGAAAATTACTGTGTTAGGATGGAGGCAGTGAGTGAAATCAGTGGGGGGTGAAAAAAAATGGTTTGACTATCCCTGAAAACAAATTCCTGCTCCCATCTGCATCTACAGATGGTGACAGCCCCTTCTTTGCCTCCAAAGAGAAATCTTGATGCAACCAGGAACAGGAGAATCCCTGACTAATCTTCCTCCCTGTTTCAGCTGGGATGTCCCCAAGGTCCCAACAACACCCCAGCACCCCAACACAGGTGGAGATGCAGGGCAGGCCCCCAGCTCTCCCAATTCCAGTGCTCTTCCTCAGCTGCCACCCCACAACAGTGACACAAACCAGGGGTTTTGTTTGTGGGGGGACAATAATGGCTGGTGTCAGGAGTGAGCCTGCCTGCCCTGCTGGTACACGGGSAAACAAAACCATGGGAGATTAACAAAAGATATTGTTTCACTGSCCACTCCTGCAGCCTAGATCAGCTGGCTGATGGTGGCACAGGRCTCAAAACCATCCAATCTCATTCTCTCCAATATTTTCTTTTATTCCAACTAGAGCTTACAAGAAGACAAGCCTTCCACCAGCATCTCACAACACCGGATGGGATTCTCAGTTAAGGGCAGCACTGAGCCCAAAGGGGCAGGTCAGACCCAAGGACTCAAAAGCAGAAAGAAAGAAGGTCTCTTCTCCCACCTCCTCTTTTTTTAAGGATACTGCTTTTTTTGGGAGCTGTGAGGACTAAATACAAATAAAAGTCACTGTTGGCTCAAACAGAGGTGCTGGTGTCACTGGCAGGGTGAGTCCAGCCCAGGGAAAAGCTGGGCACTGTAATGACACAGCCACAGCAGCAGAGAAGCCAGGCCCACTGCTGGCAGTGATGTCCYTGCTGGGTTAGACTGAAGACAGAAATCCCTGTGAAATGTCCCCACCCTGTCTGGGTTCTGCCACCCACACAAGTCTGCCCTGAAGCTGAGCTTTGTGGAGAAAAAGGGGTGAAAGCCACCCCCTCCCCAAAGCTCCTCCCTGACAAAATCACTCCAAYRCAAMACYACAGGAAGAGTAAAACCAGGTAGGRTGTGCTGTGATGTACTGAAAGCTCTTAAAAGCTGAGGAGTCTGCAGATATTTAAACACCAAATTCCTGCTTTTAAGGGGAGGGAAGGGGGAGGATGCCTGGACAGCCCAGGGRCTTCTGTCCCTGCTGGGACAGCCAGGGCAGCTGGTGCCAGGGTCAGAGCAGTGCTGCCCACTCACTGCAAGGGCTGGGGATGCCTTCTGACAGGGGCAGGCTCAGATGGAGTCACAGGAATGCTGATCCAAGCTGAGCTCTGGGGTTACACATAACCTTTGTTAGCAGAGGCCCTTTCTCATTTGCACAGGGAAGAAAAAGGGAGGAAAGAGTAAACAGGCTGAGSAGCCAAATAACTAGCCTCTCACTGCCCTTAAAAAAAGAGGGAAAAAAATCCTCTTTTATTGAAACCATTTCCTTTGGTTATATCATTTCTCTTGAGGCTGGAATCAATTTTAAGTCTTAAGTGTATTCCYTGCAATAAGTGCACGGGCACGAGGCTTGGCTGCCCACCAAGGGCTGCCCTGGAGAGCAGCACATCTTGCTGTGCCCTCTGTCACCTCCCCACGTCACCTCCGAGCCCCAGAGCCCCCTGCAAAGGGASCCCCCAAGCCCAGCACGGGCAAGGTGCAGCACAGGTCACCTTGGCCCCGCTGAGTGCCCCAAGYAGGACACAGATGGCACCCATTACGTGTTCCCATCCATGTCCTSTGTCAACAGTGACAAGATTAGGCTGAGTTCTGCCCAGAAACCCCCCGATGGAGGGACATACCGGTGCCAGGCTTTGCTGTAAGCACATAGCAGAGAAACAGCCGTGTGCTGGGCACTGGGATTTGATGTTGGAGGAGTGACTGGGGTCCTTTACAGTCTGCACAGACACCGCCTCCAGGCCGGGTCTTTTGCAAGATTGGAGGAAGCAGGGACAAATCCATKTTATTAAGAGAAAAACAGCAAGAGTTTCACATGTTCAGGATCCTGCAGAGGGCTGGGGTGTGCCCCTTGTGTGCAGCATGGGGCAATTTGACCTTCTGGACAAAAAAAGGAAGAGGAAGCTTGTAGAAAGGAGAGGCAACAGCATTTTTTTTTTTTTTTTCAGGGAGTGCTTTTGCCCATGCCTGGCAGCCCTAAGAGCTTTTGCTGTTAGGGACCTTCAACCATGATTCAAACCCATGCAGGGCCCTCAGCTCTGGGAGACCAGAGCAGAACTGGGAGCAAAGAAACACCCAAGGCCAACACAGCTCAGATTTAAGTGTTTAGAGCTGGCAGGCATGAATAAGGCATCTGTMTTCCAGCAGACTGGGGGATTTGACCTCACCTTTTCCCTTCTCCAACAGGAAGGCAAATAATTCATGAAGGTGAGGCCTAGTGACATTTTTCAAAGGTTTGATCCATGTCCTCRACTCCTGACTCTTCAGCATCTTATTATCTCTAGAATTCTACTGCTTCTTAAGTTTCAGTGAGAATTGGCTGCTTTCAGCCCCAAAGCCTCCCTGACATGTCCCTGATACACCAGATTGCCACCTTGGAGCGAGGACCAAGGAGTCACTGGCCACATCCTCGAGCCTGATCTCACCCAGCCCGACACAGGTGGCCTCTGGACTCATCCCAGAGCAATTGTTAATGAGTGGATGATACTGTGGGAGAGGGAATGGGATTTAATTCTAACCTGAAACTTGTGGGTGCCAAAAAGTTCTTGGTTAAGAAGCACTAATTTTCCTGAAGCCCTATTAAAATTGTGTTGTCCAGCCCTGAACGGATGAGAAAGAAACAACAAGTTCTTCCTGACAAGTTAGAACTAGAACCAGGCAGAGTCATGCCAAGAAAAAAAGAAACCCACAATCCACAGCGTTACTTTTTTTTTTACCCACTTTATTTATGTGTGTGTTTCTATAAACATTTTAACTACTGGACATTTCATAAACCGTAAAAATAAACCTTCCTGCCCCCAAAATGCAATCTAACCAGCTTTTGGGTCAGCCACCAGCGATGCTGCCAGGGCAGGTAGGTGTCCCTAGGTAACCTCCTGCTGGGTGTGAGCCAGCAGCTCACTGCCTCAGATCCTGAGCCTCTGACAGGAGAGGAGACACTTTAAACACCTGGCAGCTCTCCTCCTCCAGGGATTCAGCAGGAGAAAAGAAGGGTGGATAAAGAATTTCTCTTGATGGAAAGTCAGAGTCCAGCAGAGGGGTTGCAATGTCCCCTTGCAGGATCAGACGCAGTGACCTGGGCAGAACAGGAGCAGCCTGGGGGCTGTGGCAGTGCTGGGGACAGAAACCACGGCCCGAATGCTCATTCCTTGCCCGTGCCCCAAATGCTCCTCGGTGCTTTGTGTGAGCAGCCAGTGCTTCCCAAAACCGTCTCTCTCTCATGCTGGGCWCGAGGCTGTGGGTGCTGATCCCTCGGGGCGGGCGAGCCCGGCTCTAAGGCACCATGGGGAGGGCAGCTGTGGGGTGGCAGGGGAGGCCCAACCCAGCCGGGGGACCCAGCGCTCGTGGCCAGACACCCCACTGTCCCGGGGGAAAGCACCGTGTGGCACCAGTGACCAGAGCAGCTCACACACTCTCAGTTGCCCAGGTTCATGTCCGTGCCGTGGACCAGCCAAACCAGGCGGAAACAGATGGCCAGGAACCCAGTGCCCAGGAGATCGCCCAGGGCCGTGAGGTAGGGGATGGAGAAATTATCGGGGTCCAGAGCCTTCCTCCACATCAGGCGCACGATCAGGTCGGCCGCGTAGAGCAGGATCCCCACCTGGAGAGGCAAAACAGGCCCTGCTGTGGGGCTGAGAGGGCAACAACAGAAACCCTCAGCTCACAACAGGAAAAGGTGCCAGGGCCAGCAGGGACCCCTGAGCACCCACACCTTCCCCAGAGAGCCGGTGTTCCTCAGAGGGATGGGATGGGATGGGATCCATGGGATGGGATGGGATGGGATGGGATGGCATGGCATGGCATGGGATGGCATGGCATGGCATGGCATGGCATGGCATGGGATGGCATGGCACGGGTGCAGCGGGCTCCTGCCCCTTGGCACAGCATTGCCCCTGGTGTCACAGCCCTGTGCTGGCAGCCACAAGTGTGGAGACCCTGCTCACCAACATCACCTGCTCAAACCAGAGCCTGGCCACACCAAAAACATCTCCCAAAGGTGCTGTTCCTACTTCCCATGCCTTGAATGGGAGCACCCCACTCACTCCACCAGATAAAGGGTTCCTGTGAATATGCAGGCAACCCCAAAGGTAAGTTATAGCCAGATTTTTTTTTTCTCTTCATCCTTGTTTTTTCCATTAGAAATTCAGATCATGTCTACTTTGTTTTTCCTAAAAGTCTCAGTGGGMAACTGGAGTTTGAGGCAGTTTTTACATCAAAGCTATCCCAAGAAGAACTGACATGTTAAAAAAATAAAATAATTTCTCTTTTTCATCTCAACAGTTTAAAAATCTTTGTTGTGATTTCTTTTAATTCTTATTTCATTCCCAATTCTGATAAACAGATGGAGGAAAAAAATACTTCGGTTAAAGATTAAAGACTGTCTAGTTAATTGAATTAAGAAGGGAGAGAGAGCTTGCACCCCACATCTGTGCTCCCTCCATGGGAGACCACAGCACATCAGGAACCAAAGCCTGAGGTAGCATTTCTAAAGGTGAAAACTGCAAGCTGGGTTGGGAGAAAGGGAGAAGGAGAGATGGAGATAGCAAATGAAATAACAGCATCACAGAAACTAAAGCTGGCTGGAAACTCAAGAGTTTTACACAGATCATTCCTCCRCCTGAATTCAGGATCAAATGCATCCCCATCTTTCCTGATGGAAAATTTCTTTAACTTGTGCTGAACAACCCTCAGAGATGGAGATGCCACACTCCAAACAATCAGCTCATGGATTTTTTCCCCCATTTTTGTTTTTCTCAAGGCCTAACATAAATCTGCCTTTTTCCATTTGAAATCCATGATTTCATGTTTCCTCCCTAGTGACTGCACAGTAAATGTTACTCTGTCCCTCCCTACATAAATTTGGTACTTTAAAGGCTGTTAAACAGATTTTTCTCAAGCCTCTCTACTTTGGACTGGTTAACCTCAGTCCATTCAATCACTCCTCTGAGGTCATGTTTTCTGGGCCTCTKATCTTTCTCTTTGGGCTTCCCCCAACTGACCCAAACTTTCCCCCTGCCTCTCTTTCTGTCTTTCTTTATAAAGTATAAGAAGGAGGAAAAGGACCAGTCTGAATAAATTCTCCTCACTAGCCTCCCTGGGAATCTTTCAGGGTCAGTGGTGTTGCTGGGATGCTGCTCTTTATGCTGTCATTTATTCTTCGTATTTTCATGCTTGGCTTTGGTCAAGGAGTTACCTCGATGCATGAAGAGAAGAATAAATATTTTCCTTTACAACGGTGGCTGTGCTGCYGGGCTTGGGGTTGTGCAAAGGTCGAGAAAAACTGATTGTTTACACACACAAGGAATTCACCCTCAGACACAAGGCTGCTTGTAAGGCAAAGGGAGAGTCAGCCACTCACCATGCACATTAATGAATTTAAAAGGGCAAGTGAAGCCAGAGCCTCTGTGAGTTCAGGCAACAGCCACATGAATTTCTCTGAGTGAGATTGTTTAGAGGGCAGGAAAAATGGCAAAAGGAAATAAACAGGGCAAATCAGATGCTCTGCCCATTGCCTACCAGGAACTTTTACTTTTGAAGATGAACTGCCTGGGTTTTCCCTTTGGTTTTGACCCACATAGCCTTGTCCAGAGGGATTCCCAGGTCTCCACCATAACATGTGACACTGGTTTCCAAACAGAGTGGGGAAACCCACTGTCTGGAGTTCACTGCTTTCACTTGCCCCTTATTGGGTGACGAGGGGCAGTCTGGAAATACTTGGAGCTTGGAGGCTCAAGGAGTGAACAATTTAACACAAGGTGCTTCCTTGCTGAGTGTGTCTTTGCACAATTACTGCAGCTCAGTGTGTGCTGAGAACTTCTCCTTCTCTCACATCTGATCCCTCACTCACCCTAAAGCACAATCATGCTCATGTGGGAGACTAGAGCCTGGCAGTTTGGGTGAAGTTTTRCTGGACCTACAGCAGGTACATGATGCTTTCTGAAACAGAGGAGCACCAGGAAACAGAGACTGCTGTTGGCTGTTTGAGTGTGACTCCTGTTTAACCTAGAGAACATTATTATCATGTTATCTGAGAGGTTCCTTTGAGAGTTTGGGGCTTACCTGCAGCAAAGCAGCAGTCAGGTAGAACATGACAAAGGTGAAGGACAGGGACGTGTGGCCTCCCTGCAGCAGATGGATGGTGTAGAGGAACACCAGGTGCCCAGGGATAACCAGGAGGAACAGGACCCGGGCTGACTTGGAATTGACCCCTGCAGAGGACAGAGACAGGAACAGGGCTGACAGCAGCTGCAGAGGSTGGGAGGGGACAGGACACAGCTCCACRGTTTAATGCACRACCCTGGGGCTGTCCCCTCCCRCCAACCACATTGCTGATGCCTTCTSCAGATCACACAAACAKAGGAAGAATCTCCAGGATCAGCCCAGCAGCTTTGTCTGGCACCAAAACTGCATGCCAAAGACTTTGTGCTCCGCTGTGATTCTTGCAGACACTCCTCTCAGCTCCTCTCTGCCTCCCACAGCTTCTGCTCTGCCTTGCTGCAACAGATTTTCCCAGTTTATGGTYTGATCTAGCACTAACTCTCAACCTAACAGGGAAAATTGAGAGGAACTCTATAAAGACAACAGACCCAAAATCGAGTTTGCTGATGCTTAAGCATTTCCACTGCTGAAGAYGGAGGAATTGCTGATTTTCAGCAAGATTATGGTCAATTCACCCCTCTGTCTACAGGTGATGGCTCTAGGCTGGCCATTAAAATGACTTTCTGTTAGATCAAATCTAAGATTCTTTTTCAATTACTGTCTTTACTGCTCCCTGAAGGCTCACTCTTTGCATGCCAGTGAGCAAATATGCCATAAGCCTTTTTCTTCATGCTGCCCACTGCAAAGATGCTTTTTCTYTGATTTGAGAATCCTCCCTGGAAGGGCAAAATTCTGCCTTTGGAACCCACCTAGTCCTTCCCAACCAGGCTTGGGGAAGGAGCTATCAGTGATGACAGGCCTTGAGACACGGACACGAAGGGTTCAGGGTCTACCTGATGAGAAGAATGTGGAGCATGGGTTGGGCCAATTCTGCCTCATCTTGTATGGCAAAACTCCAGGCATGCTCCAGAAGTGCAGGAATGTAGAAATTCGGCTGGCCTGGATGGCGACCAGATTCCCTCCAACACCTGCAGGACAAAACACAGAAAATGTGTAAACCACCTTAACCAGAGCAGGAAACATCAGTCTAAAACCTAGCCCAAGGTGAGTCAATCTCAGTCAATATTCACTGAGAGCAGCAGCAAGAGAAATAGAAAACCTGATCCCTGAACTATTCATTTTGCAGGAACAGCTCTTAAAACTCAGGAAGGCTCCAGTAATTTTATCCTTCTCATTGCTGTACTGAAAATACTTTCCCTTTCTGCCCAGCACTGGATGTAAATGCCACTGGATATAAATCACAAAGGTGTTGTAATTGCACCTGGTTTGACACACTCTGTGAACAACACCTGGGRAAAGCAGTGCAGATGCTGCTCATGGCCACTTCTTGGATTTACTCACTCAGAGAAACATTATTGTTTAAAAGAAAACAAACATCACAGAGAGTGATTGCATGTCTTTCTGTAGGTACCTGACACTCTTGTTAAATGAGAAAGAATCTTGAGAATGAATTAGGACCCAAATATGTTTGCTAATTAAAAGTAAATTAATTCCTTCCAGACTGATTAATTCTAGCAAACATGAAAAAGCAGCTACATTTTCCAGCAGAAAATAGAGGGATAATGATCTGTGGAGGAAACCTCCACTGCCCAAAGAATTATCAGGGTGGAAATGCCACAGGAAAGATAACGGTAAGCGAGATGCTACAGGCTTCTCATGTTTTGCCTTCCTTGRAGAAGAAATCATCATTAAACATGAGATTTTCCAGATGGGAATCAAAGTGAAAATACTTAGGCTATCTCACAGCTCAAAATGGGAACTGTCTGAGCCATGCACTGCACAYTTTGCACATGCAAAGCGAAGACCTGCCAGTGCAAAGACACAGAGCCCTGCAAAGCTCTGCCACCAGCTCTGCCAAACCAGTCMCCTGTCCCCACAGAGCAACATCTGGGTAAATCATTGCTCAGATGGATTGCTGTTGACCTTCCCAAGCAGGATCCCTGGCTAACCATGCTGGAAAGGGTTTGTCAGCAAGGGGGCTGTCTCTGTGCAGATCCAGGGAGGTGGCAGCTGGGTGACACTGACACTGCAATAGGACACCGTGCTTGGAGGGTGGCATGAGGCCAAGCCTGCCCCAGCAGTGTGAGCTTCCCTTGGAATGGGCCTGTCCTACAAAAATGTTGTAATAGCCAAAAAATAAGCCAGTGGATGTTCAGTGATACCAGAACCCCAGCAGTTTGTACTGATAAAAGTACTGTGAGGATTCAAATAAACATAAATGTGCACACAAAATACGTTGATATATATATATAAAATACAGTTATAGCAAATCTATGTATGTCATCTTTTATATTCATACACTTGGATAATCTTATAATATTAATATTTATGAACAATCTGTATAGGGGATACACACATATATAATTTATTATATTAATATTTATCAGCAATCTGTATAGGGGGTGATTGCACAGCTCGAATTACTGAGTGGAGGGAAGGAAACAAGGGAAAATGGATTTATTGTGGCATCCCAGTAGGTTTGATGCTATGAGAAGTATCAGAGAAGCTCCCAGAGATGCTGTTAACCTTTTTCCACAGCTCTGTCCTTGCTGCTATTTTGCTCCAGAGACACTTCCAAACATAAGCAGGGATGTGATGGGGACCTGTAGCTTCACTTCCACACACAATGAGAGCAGGGACTTGAACACTGATCTCTGTGTAGGAGCAACAGTGGATACCAGACCTCTTCAGAGRAGGGGGAGGTATAAATAAAAACATGAATGGAACACCCCGTGCCCAACCTACCGTTAATMACAGGTGTGAAAACTGCCATGCCTTCAAAGTTTGGGTCAGTTACAGTTTTGTCCAGGATGAGCCCACCAATGCTGTTAAAAAAAGGACAGGGATTGAGRGTGGATCAATCTGTTCCTGGGGCAGTTCCTGCACTGTGAAAATAGCACAGTGAGAGGGTTACTGCACCTTCCCCAGAGCCAGGGCTGGACTGTTCACCACGTGCTCCTTTCACAGCTCACTTTTCACCAACAGAAAGCCTTGCAGATTTTGTTTATGGCAGAATGAGCTCAGGAGGACCTCCTTGCCCGTCCTTAAGCAAAACTGCTAGTAGTTAGGACAGCTTTATCATCCTTCCCCATAGTTTTGTTATATTTCTATACTGGCCTTGGCAGTTTTTTGAAATCCTCTCCCAGACCTCAGCTGGCTGTGAAACATGTAGCTCAGGAGGAATGAACTACCTGGCTCTACATTTACAGACCTGGCTCTGTATTTTCTCTTTACAGCTGGATAAGAATGAGGCTGAAGCCTGACAATTTGTGATAGTCATCATCTGTGCTTTCAGTTTCCTGGTTTTCACCCACACAGTCCCTGGATATGTGATTGAGACTTAGAATAATTTGCTTTTTCCACTCCTTTGGGGGCTCCTTATCTGCTGTCTCACATCCTGTTGGAGAGTCACCAGYAGCTAAGAAGCTCTGGACAAGCACCTTTTTGCTGTCCCTTCCAATTTCACTTTTGATGGCCTTCTGAGAGAGCACAGGACCTGTGTCAGTGTGCACACAGCAGTGCCTCGCTCACCTGCTGATGCTCATGGCTACAATAACCGGCTGCCACCCCGATTTCAGCACTTCGGCCAGGGAAGGACTCTGCTTGGCAATGGCAACCCAGAGAGGGATCATGACAATGAAGACAGCACAGATCAGGGGAGAGAGGTACTTCACATCTGGCAARGAAAAGAAAGCTTGAATTAAATGCCTACAGTTTCGCCAAAGCAAAATTGCCTTGCACAAAGACAGGTAGAAAAGGCAGTAGGATTCTTGCTCCAACTGAGTTATGTTAGAGGAAAAGTCACATGAACCATGATAGTCCCCACAAAACCACCTCATTCCAGCACAGAAATCCATAATTAATCCCTGAAATTCACTGCTAGAGGATGCTGTTTGAAAATCAGCAGGATTCAAGGCAAGTTATATTTGAAGACGAACAATWCTCCAATTCCATCTCCAACTAAGAACAACAAAAAGTTAAAAAATCTCTGGCTTTAGGGTACAAATCAAACAGCAGGRCAAGGGAGAAACTCCTGTGTGGAAGCTGTATCCCACTGTGGGCAGACACCTCACACCTTCACCTAAAACAAGAGGTAAGAGGTRCTTTAGGAGGCAAGCTAGCAGAATTGCTGAGCAGCTGGTCTGCTCTATAGGAACAAATGTTCTCTGGCACCAATAAGCCAGTTAAGATMTGGGGTTTCTTTTGTGCTAGCTTACAAGTGTTTCGATTAGGTGCTTTTTCCATTCAGCAGAGGCTTAGTCTTGCAGTRGTCTTTAGAAGCAAAGAAATTAAAAAAAATAAGTAGATGTGCAGCACTAGAAGAAAATAAACCTGACTCAGAAGCATGAGAAACACCTTCGAGCAATGGGGCTGATGCCAACCCTTTTGATACTAAAATGCTTCTTCAACAAAGCTCTCCATCTGGTCTCTGAGCTGGGGCCAAAGGCAGTGGGATGTGAGGCTGACTTTGTAGGCAATCTGGGAGATGAAGCAGCTCAGAGTGTGCATTTTTTAAAACACCATGCCAGGGCCTTGGGCTACCTGGCTGCGACAGCACTGGTGTGAAGGCACCTTCTGTGAATCAAAGSCTCTCACACAAAGAGGTGCCACTCTTTATCAGTGGGCACTGAAATGCAGCCCCTCCTGGGGTATAAAGAGTTTTGTCAGTGCCCTTTACCCCCTGGAGTCACCCAGGACAGGTGGGTTGTGGGACAGACTTAGCTGCTGTACTGGGTGTCCTACCTGCACCCCTTGTTGTTGGAATTGATTCCTTCTTAAATAATGCAGACACTGAGAACTGGAGTCTGTCAAACGTTATCAGAGCCCACAGAAAGGCTCCTGGTAGGATGAATGGTCTTCAGGCTCCACATTCCAGTTCTGCCACATTCTCTCACAGGCAGCCCATAAGCGAGCTGRAACCCTTTGGCACAGTTTGTGTCGCCATTATGCGGGACTGAGAAGCACCAGAGTCAATTAAAAAAAAAAATTGGGAATCTTCTGTGGCAAGAGGATATTCTGCAGAAGGAGAAGGTGCTGCATCAAGAGACACACAGTACTTCAGCCTTTACAGACTCATCACTGTTTCTGAAGGATACATTTGGGTCAGACTCAGGAGTGTTCACAGCCTGACCTGTGCCTTACTACACACTGGGGAGGGAAATGGATTTATTCAAGCACCATCAGCAGTGCCATCCTCTGCCTGCTCCACTTCATGCTCCCAATGACTCAGTGTCTGTGTGCTGACTATTTTCCATCTCAAGAGGCTCTTTAAACTACTCTGGCAACCTCACCAGTGCTGTCTGGTCACAGCCATAGAGGTTATCGTGTTGTTCTGCCCTGTGCTCCCTGGAGATAATATCTGAGGCATAGCAACTGAAAGACAGATTAGCTTTACAGAGGCAGGTGCAATGGCATCATGGAAAAATCCTGTGAAAAAAAAAAAAAACAAACAAACCACCTCTGAAGCTGAAGGAGGAGCGGATGGAAGCGATTCATAGGCCTCTCCCTGCAGTGTGTGCTCCTTCCCTCCCTCACTTGTGCTTGCACATGGAATGRGTTATGCAAACTGAGAACAGCTGCCTCACTGCTTCTGCTCACAGTCTGAAGCAACAGTTTGGGTTTCAAGTGGTATTGAGTTTGCTTGATCATTTTATTTTCCCATTTCTGTTCCAGGTTAGACTCACAGTAAGCAGCCTAACACTTKAAAAGCGACAGTCAGACATTTATCACCAATGTTTTGAGCTTCTGAGGGTCAGCAGGTGCCCAGGTYTTTGGCAAACCAGCAGCACAGCTAACCCCAAATCCACAACTCCTGCTCAGAGCCCTGCAAGCACAAAACACTGCACACTGCTTCCCTCCAGCTGGATATATTGTTCATCCATGACTCTCCACGTGAGAGGATACAAGAATACTTTCTGAGTGCCAAAACCTGAGATTGCCTTGTGAAGAAGGAGCTGCTATTGCCCAGGCACAGGCAGTCGAGTTGCTTGGCCAGTGACAGACCCAGGAACAGAGTCAGTGTCACATATGTCACCCTTCTGTTCCAAAGCTGCGCAGTACATGTTGGTCATTTCTTTGACAAATCCCAGCTGTGTTTATTAGGCTCTGCCTTCCAGTTTTTTTAACTAAAAGTGAGTCTGGAAAAAGCCTCTTTGGTTGTTTTTCCACCCCAGTGGCATGACAGCCTCCATTCAGAACCATGCCAAAAGTGCTTAGGGAGTCTGCAATAATTTCACAAGGATTTGTGAGCCCCCTGACTGTGCTGCAATCCCGTGCTGAGCACTGTACCTATGTATTTGAAGAGGGTGCTGCTGATTCCTGCCAGGAGGGAAAGGGTTATCAGGTCTCCGAGGCTCGCTGCTATGGGTGTGGCGACATTGTCTGGATTGATCCCAATTTTCCTCGCTCCGATGATCACGCCAATCATCACCAGGCCTGGAGRAGACACAGAGCAGGCATCAGGGAAAGCATTCTGCCCTGTTCCACCCCTGAGCTGCTGCTCTGGTTCCCAAGGGGTGTGGGGGTCTAAGGGAAGTGAGAAGCAGATTACCCAGGGCAGCATCACACAGCTGGAGAYTGGACACCCCAGGAATCCATCCTCGTGCTTTCACCAACCTGAAGGGCATGGCTCTGCCATTATGAAGTGCACCAAGGGCCCAGAGGCACACAGGCAAATTCCAGGGATCAAAGGAGGTACCAGCAGGCAGCCCAAGTGTAGAAGCTCCCCTCCTGAGCAGCCTAATCTTTGCTGCCTTGAAGCAGGACCAGGCACGAAACACGCTCATAGATAAGCACACAGCAGGCGTGCAGCAGCCTCCTGGTGCCATCCCCTGCTCTGGATTCCACAGCACAAAGATATTTTCCATATTAGACCAAAATTTCTCACAGTTTGAATCACTGAGGAGCAGTGAGCTTCCTCACAGMAGCCTGCATCAGCCTTTCAGCCCAGCCATCTGACCCCAGAGTCTTTGGGGCTGCTTTAATTTGCACTGGGTGGGTATTGATGCTGTGAGCAGCTCCAGAGTTGAGGGGTTACGGAGTTGGTCCACACCTTTTCCCTTGTCCTCTGAGGTGCACCTGGAAAATGGAGCTGCTTTTCAGCCTTGCTGGGGAAGGGGGAGTTTTGCTTGCCCAGGTAAGTTCAGGAGCACAGACCCCAAATCCTGAACATGTGGGAATCCCTCAGCTATCTGWTCTCTCACAGCCCTGGTGTGGAAGAGGCACCTGGAATAAACCCTGTCTGGCCAGGTTTAACTAGAAAGGGCAGCCTCGAGACAAGACACACGGCATCCCTTAAAGCTCTTCCATGGCTGACAGCCTGCACCAAAGGAAATTTAAGAAATGGTGAATCCCTCCACCTCATAACCTCTTGTACACAGCCCCTCCAAAGCTGAGCAGGCACAGGAGCATTAGCTCTACCCCAAGAAATGCCCCATGTGCACCTTCCCTGGTACAAAACAACATCCCTCACACAGAAACACATCCTCTCCCAACAGGACATTTCCACAGCAGCCCTCCCAGACACCCACGATCCCCTCCCCACCTCACAGTTCGTGCTGCTTCTCTCCCTGGCCATAAAAATAGCAGCTTCCCATTGTACATACCCACACAAGGCTGCTGTCACCGTGTCCAGGGACAAAATTGATGTCAACAGCAAACCTGAAACCGTGCAGCAGCAAAGCCTCTCTGCGTCACACCAAGCAGGGACATTGTAGGGAAGAGCAATGAAAGCTGAGCCGCTGTTTTTTAACAACTGCCTCATCCCACGTTTTCATCAAAGGCATCTACAAGCACCCTTTGACTCCAGCTTGGGGATATGCACTTGTTCCAACTTGTCCCTTTAATTTACAAAACTTGTATCTATGTGCCAGCTGCCTCTATTCAGGGGATCGTGCTGCCCTCGTATGGCAAACCTACAAACTGGAGATCTCAGGACACACAGAACAGCTCCTGCTGTCCAGCCCATCACATTCCCCTGGAAGGGGAAGAGCCAGGGGACAGGACAGCCTGGCTCCCAGCTCACAGCAGGCAAAGCACGGGCTGGCCACAAACCTGTTCTGGGTATGGGGTGACCCGAGCCCATCTCGAGCGTGGTCTGGATTTGTCTGCGACAGCCCCTCCATCCCTGCTTTGTGCATGACATGAGCTGAGCTTTCCCTCAGAAGGGCTGTGCAGATGGCCTATGTGGCACCCAGGACACACAGAGTAGGGCAGGGGTGTGTGTGGACACCTGGRCACAGCACCTGGCACTTTTTGTGTGTCAGGTGAGGGACATTTTAAATGCTGCCGGTGGATGCTGAGAGCTCACAGTCCATCACGGGGGAAGAGCAGCAAAGGCAGGATGCAGAGGGGAATGAAAACAGCAGACACAGGATAATATCCCCTGCATCCCTCCCCCTCAAAGAGGGCCTCCCTGGAGGAAGGGACAGTTGAATGCTGCAGCTCTGATCTGAAGAACCAGAGCCACTCACCGAGGGAGAGCGCAGCGATGAAGGCCGTGGTGACGCTGCTGGCACACAGCACAGCAGCCTGGCTCAGCTCCACTGAGCCCTTGGAGATGGCTCCCAGGATCACAGCAGCGATGGCAGCCAGCAGTCCCACCACGGTGGCCTGGACCTGGGGACCAAAGGACAGCTGGTGAGCGCTCATCTGCATCTGCTCACGGGCAGCCCTGGTTCCACACGGCTGCAGCACTGCCACACTGCTTGGAGGGCACAGCCTGGCACAGATGAGGATTGTTTATGTGTTTAAGCAGCATCCCTGCAAGGCTCCACTARATTAAAAAAAAAAATCCTGAAAAAGTTTGGAGAAAAATTGTGGAGGCCTGCAAGGGGAGATAACATTTCGCATTTCAGCAAAGGACACCGAATCCATGGACAAAGGAATAGCCCTGGTCAGCACAAGAACRGGCTCCCCATCAGCACAGCACTCCAAGGGAGCTGGAGCTGCAGAGGGAGATAAGGGAAAGCACACAGACACACACTGCAAGCCCTGTGGTCTTGCCATGTGCAAACTCGAGGCTGATTCCTGAGTTTTAACAGCAGAAGGAGCTGCAAGAGGCAATTTCTCCCATYTCCTCCCTCCTGCCCAAGGCTGATKCCCAAACRCTGCCAGGCTTTATCCAGGGCTGCTGTGAAATGGGGTTGTGCCACAGCTCCTGCTGCAAAAGGAGGGGTTTTATTATTTCAGTTTGTCCACAAAGGCAGTGAATGTCCAGATGTGTTTTACAGCTAAACTACCAGCTCTGGGGCCACACAGAGCTTTATTGGAGGTCAAGCCCTGGCTCTGCTTGGCTGTGTTGAGGATACCTGCCCCAAWTCACCAGCTCTGCATTCAGCACTGCTGGAACAGATGCTGCTGGTCTGCAGCACAGCAAGAGGAAAGGGAGTTCTTCATCTSCCAGCTGAAGGGACTCACCTGGATGAGGGCTAAATTGCAGGTGGCCATTTTCCATTGCTTCTGGGCATCATCCATCTGTCCAGTGTTAGCCTAGGAGTCAAGAGAGACACCTCAAAAGCTGTTTCTGAGGTACAGGTGGCTGCTGAAGGCAATTTCACCTGGTCCCTGGGGGAAAGGGGCTGTTAAAATCAGAGAGAGGCAAGTACAGGTCATGTCCCAGCCTTCCCTGCATATCCTCCTTTAACTCCTCTGCCATGCTCCAGCCCACTGTCCCAGGGCCATCAGAGGCTCACATTTGCAGAGGCATTGCAGGGCACCCACATAAAGGGGAGTGGGTACATCCAGCACATCCCACACAGACAAAAAACTGAACAAATTAAACCATTTTTCGTCCTTATTTTCCCCTAAATTGCTCAGGTGAGCTCCAATTTCTCCTGACACATGTAATATAAAGAGCCCAAAGTAAACAAAATTGCTTAKGGAGATAGAAGAGATCAAACACAGAGCAGCAAAAGCTGCTGCAGGTTCCAAGAAGCCTCGGTCTGCTCCCCCCAAGGCGGGAGTGCTGGGAAGCCCTCAAGGWTCAATACCCACAGAAAAGCAATCCAGCACTGAAGCTGACAGCTGTGGAGTCCTGCCTTTGTCTCCTTCATGTGTCACAGGGCCCCAAATACCAGCAACTGKCCACCCAGGGATTAATTCACCTTCAAAGTGCAGATGGAAATTCTCTGTTCCAGTTACAAAATGAGGGCAAACACATTATTTTAATGCTCACACCCCACTAGTTTCCACTCAGCAGCAAAGGGCATCTCTCGTACACTTTGTGATTACATAAATGAAGAATCTCCTGATGTYTCCTGCTAATCACCCCCCTCCCCACAGCCCCCAGCAGCTTGTTAACACTCACAGCAGTGGAGAGCCTGGATGCCAGGGTCATCTCCAGATTACCCTTCAGGCCAACCAAGGCAGGAACCAGGATGAATACCTCTGTAATTGTCCGAAACACATCCCAGTGCTGCAAGAAAACAAAGGCAATGATCTCAGTTTGTGATGCACCCAGGACATCAGGTTCTTGTCTCGCCACCTCCAGGTATCTGCTGTGCACATGGGGGCAGATGCTGCCCTAGTGCATTTTGTTGTTGCATTTTGGGAGTGAAGGAGGGAATTTTCAGCTTGCAGTATTTTCTCATCTCATGCACAACAAAGCACTACCCCCGTCGGGAAGGATTTTTCTTCCTGGGGGCAACAGAAGATTTTGGAAATCCACAAATTAAAATGTGCCTTTAGCATTAGCCAAGAAAAACGTGGAAAATAATTAAGGCTCACAAGCCAAATAAAATAGAGCACRTTTTCAATCCTTTGCACTGACACTAGATACAGGGACATCTATTGCTAACCAGACTCATAAGAACAAAAACAAAGATCTGGAAAATGATGTAACAACCAGAGGCTGTATCTGGTTTTGCTTACCAAACTTCTAGTTAAGCATCTAATACTGGTGGTGAGAGGGAACGAGATTTTTGCACCTCTTCTCCACACGCAGTTCTTAAATCTTCCTGTTACCAAGTACATTCCCAGCACAGCTGGAAAAAGGTTTTCAATTAAGATATTTCATAATCCAAACTGCTGGGCCAATATCTTGCCTGTGGTTGCTCCTCCGAAGCTGAACTGCACAAAGCTGTTGGCTCAGCTGCAACACTTGAGACAAACTGAACATTTCAGAAACTTTGTTGACTGACATGTGTTCTCTAATTTCTGTACCATACAGCRCCTTGGAATAGAATTCATTCCTCTTCTGTGCATTCAAGGGTATTGGCAAAGTCCTGCTGTAGCCAGAGAGGTTTAAATCAGGATGAAATCACAGAATTCARCATGAGGGAAAAGGAATGAGCCCAACATCGGAGAGCACAATACAAGGAAAAAAGGGCGGCTGCAATGAGTCAGGTCAAAGGTCCATCCAACTCATCCTTAAYGCTGCCAATAATCAAACAAATAATAGAACAAGAATCTACAAAAAGGACAAGTAAATTGGATAATTCTCCTGTGTGTTTTCCAGCCTGAGACTATCTGCCAAAGGGTACTGAGCTGGCGGGGRTTTTCTGCACACTTAACCAGTATTGAAAGGATTTCTCTTTCAGATGCTCATCCAAACTCCCCCCGCCAACCCATGTGCCATCCTGTGGCAAAAATTCCCATCGTTTAACTACACATCATGTAAAAGGTCAATTTGTGCATTATTTCCACCTTGTCACTGGCCAGTATCCCATGATGGTTCTGAATTCTGGCACCAKAGGACAAAACAACACATCCCTGCCCACCTTTTTCACATCCATCGGGATTCTGTAAACCTGAAAATCCAGGTGGTTGGACAGAATCAATAAATGTTGACACATTCAGCTGCCAGCCTGTTAGCAAATGCATACAGGGTGTGCCAGCTTGGTGTTTTCCTCTGGCTGTGCCATGGAAGCTGTGGGGAGGTGGTGGTGTCTGCTGGGAAGAGCTCACAGCTTCCTTTGGTCAGGATGAATGAAATTGGGGCTGAGTCCTGAGCCCGTGGTGCAAGGCACCTCTCAGAAGGGCAGAGAACAGGTAAAACATTATTATCAAGAAAAAAATTGTTATCAATATTATCAATATTACCATTATTATCAGTATTAAAAAAAAAAAAAAGCACATTTCCTGGCAGTAGCACATTTCAAAATGCTAAAGGTAAGTTACTGTTGAGTAAACAACCAACAAAACAAAAATAGTCACCTTCTCTAACACAATACACTTCTGCTTAAATTTGTTAAAGTGGAGCTTAAATGCCTGAGAAAAGCTAGGGGTGGACACCTCTTCTAAAGATTCATATCCCCCTCTCTCCTCTCTCTTTAATTAAGAATAAAGATCTAAACACATCTTTGACATCTTCAAAAGAAAGAGGAGAAAACCCAGACTTGATGGTCACAATGTAAAAACCCCCAATCATTTAAAGCACAGAGGCGTGCAGACATTTACACTTCAGACCTTGCATATTTTGCACATAAAAAGACATAAATAAAAAGCAACAAAATACCACAATTATTAGTATTTTCTATGCATGCCACCTTTTAGGAAATATAACTTTGTTATCTCTAGGTAAGCTCCAGTCCTTGTGTCATAATGGATTTTGCAGRTCTCAAGCCATCAGAACAGAAAATTCAGCACGAGGTATGATTTTTTTGGGACTCTGCCTTACATATAATTACACCTAAAAGCTCTGAACAATTAATAATCACACAACTGTACTAATTAAAAAAGCTGACTTAATTGCCTCTATTTGAGTCTCATTAGTGACTCACCCAGAGCCTAAGGACAGATTCATTATGATTTATGCCACAGCAGCCAGGACTTCATTGTGTTAGTGACTGCAGAAATGCAGAATAAACAGATGATGCCTGTGCCATCAGCTTGAGGGACTGGAGCTGGAGGAGGGGGGCAGATTGGAGCTACGCAGGCAGGAAAATACCTGAAAGAAGACACCTGATCTAAGACTAGGAAATGTCTCTGTCCTTCGAGATCAAAACCGGCCTGAAAGGAATGGGAATATTCCATGCAGCAYCACAAACCCACACGGGGACACAGAGCCAGAAAGACTACTTCCCACTTCACATTTCCATAAGAGAGTTTCAGCCCCAAAACTCAGCTCTGAAGAAACTTGGTTAACTTGATTCAGTGATAGCCATGGCAGCTGGACTGCTGGTGGGGGCCCTGAGAGGAGGAGAGGCAGTGATGGATGCACTGAGCCAGGGCAGCCCTGCTGAGACTCCTCACGCTGCCCTCACAGTCCCAACCATGTCCTGTTACCTCTCCAGGACACCCATCTCTCATGGCAGCAGCTCAGAAGCCTCAGAGATTTTCCATTGCTCTGAACAAGCCACCAGCAAGATCAAAATACCCTGGAGTACAAAACGCAAGCCAATTCAAAATCCTTTTCAATGCTAATCATCTCATGGGATTTTATCAATAAAGGACAGAGATATCTTATGTCTGCAACTTGTATTTGGACTGTGTCCCACTCCAGTGGTGTGGAAAGGGATAAGGAAAGGGAAGATTTCCTCCTGAATTCTTTGGTTTGAAATCTGATCATCCAGCTTCAATCTGATTCTTCACCTCACTGTAAAAGAGTAGACCCTGCAAGGACTCCAACACAAGCCAGCCCAGAATCCAGATCAACCAGCTGGCCAAGGATCACTGGAGCACAGACAGAAATGTCCAGAAGGAAAAAAACTGCCATGCTATTGGCCCTGCAGAGAGACTGCATCACCTGCACCAACAGGAAGAGAAAATGGCAAATATCTGCCTCTTTGGGCATCCTTTTCCTACAGCATGGGAGACCAGATTTGAGCCTTAGAGTCAACTGGGTTGATAAATCTCTTYTGTTGATTTTKCTYTTAAACAGKAACATGAACTGTTCTTGGTTTCAAMYCACAGCAGATCAMAARCTGCTAAAATCYKGWGAAGTTTGGTAGGATATGAATGAGCAATTTCCACTTTGTTCTCTTTACAGCAAAGTGAGCCCTGCAAAAGACAGCATCAGCTGGACTCACACAACAGAACCAAGTTATTTCAAGATATTTTGTGTGTAATAAAAGAAGGGCAGCAGGATTAAACTCAGTATTATCTATGCTCTACATACCTTAAGCTTGCCCATATATCTCCCTCTCCAAGGCAGACACAAAGACACAATGTTTTGCAGTCAATACAAATAGGGCAAAACATTCCTCAGCCAAACAAACCACTAAAAGATGGGCAAATCACACACTCCTGGACTTGAAAAACCTGTAGTTTCAGTATGTGAGCCCTCAYGATTGGCAATATAAGTCTTATGGTACCTGGCCCCAAGCAAACAAACTTAGTGTCAGGTTTTAGTTGGACAGGACAGTGMRTTTCTAGYKYTCACACTTGCAGGAAGTTGAGAAYAAACAGCTCAAAGACAGAGAAGCASAGAAGAATATCCCAAACCTTTAAAGGCTAAGATCTCTGCATTTTTCCAGCTACTGGTTTTGTTTATAGCTATGGGGTTGTTGAGACATGGCAGCTCACCTCACTAACATCTCTGCAGTGCCACTTGTGACTCTCAGTGCACTGGGCTCCCTCCTCTGGGAGCTGAACCCATAGACTGAYGGCTTCTATTTCAACACAGTTCACCAAAAACTACACTTCCTGTGGTTGTGCTTTACACCTGACCCCATTTCTAGGAGTCTGGTGAGCAAACACTCGACACAAACTAGACTGCACAGTGGTATTTAAAGGACACGTACAATGTACATATACACGGCTTGTGTTTTCCATCAGTTTGGATGCAGTTACATTTTTGAACACAGCCCAGCTCTTAGCAAGTGAACTGATTTCTTCTAGACAAAGACCTATTCACTCCATGGTGTGGAGTGGGTATGTAGCGTGTCCTTATCCTTCTTGGAGACAGCTGCTAACTATTAACATAACATCTTGGGTAGTGTGAGAACTTCTGTAATGCTGCAGGACAGGTCTGTGCCTAAGCACGGCACAAGGAGGAGATGACAAACACAGCACAGCAACAGCCTGTGCCACTCCAGTTAACCCTTCTTGGATATTCCACGTGCTCCCTTTAGCTCAACTCCTCTGCCTTCTTTGTTTCTTCCAGCACAAGAAAAAAACAAGCAAAGTATTGTCTTTCCAAACATTCAAGTATCCATATTTAGCTCCTCCTGTGGTATTAATGCCAGAGAAGCCGATGTACTCCAGTGAGCTCAGAGCGCAGGAAATATCCTTGGGAAACTCTGCCAGCCTTTTGATTTGTAAATCCACTGGCATGAGATGTCCAAACTGGATCAAATTTTGCATTTCTATTTGTGCCACTGGTACAAAGGAAAGAAGGATGGGATAGATTCGGGTTGTGGGCACAATGGTGTAAATGCAGCAGCACTTCCTGGAAGTKACTGGAAGTTATTCCAAATTTACACCCATTGCAGGAACAGCCCGAGAAGCACTCAGTTTGTAGTCAATGCTAATCATTTTATGGTGCCTGCCTCTCATCACAGTAYATAAATGCTCTCTAGACCAAGGATTACATCTGGTTGTTTGCAAAGAACTGAAAGCATGAACTTGCCTCTATGTAAAACAGGTAGTTAATAACAACCCTGACCTAGATCTCCTTATCAGCAATTTCCGAAGAAAAGAAATGGTATCATGCAACAGGGGAATACTCTGCAGTCTTATCCAGTTGCTCCACAGGAGCYTTTACCAGAGTGTTGAGCTCGATAGAGAAAAGGGAGCACCCATTCTAACGCACCCAGGGCAGCCAGTCTGAAAGCCCCTACCCCACATTACAARGAGCCCAGATCTAAAGAAGATGGATAGTGTTCCTCTACACAGCCAGAGYCTCCAGCCATGCTGCTGACAGGCTGCTGGGACCACAGTCATTAAAAACAAACACTCACCAACACTCAAGGTCACTGCCTTAGCCCACCCTCTCACCTCAAATTGCCTAATCACAGGTACCTACTTGAACAACGTCCATCAAGAGGCCAGCAGCTACCATTCCCAAGCCAGCCAGAAGGAATGGCACAAAAATCTGGGAGGCAATGGAGAAGGAAGTCTCTGGGAGAAATCCATTGGCTGACCTGGTCAGCTTGCAGGTGAAACCTCTCAGCTTCTTGCCATGGAAGCAGAGTTCCAGCTGTAACTGGGTGACCACCATGGTCACAACACTGTTACCCCATGCTCAGCAGGGAAAATGGAGGGAGATCAGGACATCACACAGATCCTCCTCGTAGCTCTCTCTGAAGTCAGAAGRAAAGCTTTTCCTCAAACTACAGCTATGAGGCCAAATTGCTTTAGTTTCTTCTCCTCCTAGGAGCACGTCCAGACGATTGCAGCAAGGGTATCCTCCAAAACYGATTCAGCTGGGTTGAGCCCAGGTGGCAGCAAACTTGACGGACACAATTTCTCTGATTTATATCCAGCGGGGAATTAAAAAAGAGAAGAGAGGATCGCAGAGATGTCTGTGGACGAACAGAAACGAGCCCACACCCCATTCAGCTCCCACCACTTCGGTAAAAACCAGTAAGACCTGCTCAGGCTACAGCACTGAAAGAGTGACAGGTCATGCAAGAATCCCTCGGCGCGCTCAAACGCACTGGTGTCCTTTCTCCTCGGGTTACACTTCTTGTCGGAGCGCAGCGCGCGTTTGATACCACGGTTTAATGTGTAAGCTGCTGCCAGCCAGCCCCGCTCCCTCGCTCCCTTTGCTGAACTTTCCTCACTGTCCCAAGGCCGAGGAGCTGGGAGTCACCAACCACGATCCATCCTGCACTTCTTCAAGGTGAGGAAAGGTCGAGGGAAGCACGAGTGCGTTTCCCTCAGCTGACGGCATTCCGCAGGTCAGGTCCCCGGGCGGGTGACACAGCTGAGCCGCCTGGTGACACAAGATCTGCCCTTCTAGACCCCAGCCCCTCGTGTCCCCTCCATGCTCTCGGCGGGACAGAACAATCGGGCTATGCCAGCTGTACCTCTGAATGACTGGCTCTCAGGGGGGAAAAAAGTGCAGAGAAGCAGCCAATGAGCTTCAAAAGCGAACACCCTTATCTGCTGTCATCACTTCAACTTTCTGCTAGTTTGCAAAGGCCAAGATAAGAGTCATAGCCGGAGCTTATTTAAGGTAGCTCCATAATCTCTCTGCTCCACAGGCAAGGGAGAGAAAGGGCATGCTGTGAACTGGTCTCCCTTCCTGTTTTAAAATGAAAGAGTGCTCCTGCATGCTCCTGGGAAGGCACAGGCTTTGAGAGAGGGGGGCTCATGCCAGAGGCTTCATGGTCAAGCAGCTGATACAAGGTCAAAAACCAGAGCTGCACCATGGCCACATATGAAAAAAAAAAAAAAAATTATCCTGCTCTGTAAAGGCTTCAGCTCAAAGTCATATATGTAAGGAAAAGAGTCATGGTATTACACTGGGGCCCCTTTCTAATGACTAGTTTGGGCAAACTAATTGAATCAGAGAGTCAAAAAGCTTTAAAAAAACGATTTAGGATGGATCAATCCCTTCCCTCATACTCTCTGTAGAGAGACAAAAAGATTAATGGTTTKTGGACTCTGTCCTTGTGACAGGGTCCCCAGCATTGGGGGGAAATTGGAGAGAGCAAGACATTCTTCTGCCTTGCAGCAAAATAGGGAACTGAGGAAGCTCTCTGCTATTTAGACAGAGTTCATTGGTTTGAATTCACAGTAACCAAAGCACAGAGTCTAACATGCTGAGGTGACAGAGCAAATYTCCCTGGAAGCACAGCAAACCCTGGCTCCAGAGGCTCTGTCCTTCGCTGCTCTCTAGGCTGTTATTTTGGTACAGCCCCTAAAACCTGCTCTGCTCCAAGCTGCCTCTCTGTGTACATGTGTCTCCACCACCTAACAATGGTCCAGTTAGCTGAAAGCTAGCAGGAGAGTACATTTCAGCTAATCTAACCGGGAAAAAAAAAAAACAAAAAACCAAAACCTTCCACAATAGCTGGAAGAGGGAGGTTAATAAAAATCCTGTAATAACCACACATGACCCAACCTCTGTACACCAGCTGGGAACAGAGAAATGACAGCATGAAGGCCCAGTTCTGGTTAGTCATTCACAGAGGCTTCAAGGAAATAAAAGACAMTTTCTGGATAACTACCATAGGTTTTAAAGTTCTAACAATGTGCCTACCTAGTTCCATAGGTCACAGTATCAACCAGCTGGATTGATGACAGGCAGAAAATTAATGTAAAGGAAATATCAATGAGCCTAAATGACTCAAATGACATTAAAAAACACATCGTGTACTAAAGTGTCAGCCTGGCAGGGTTTRTGGGTTTATCACACTCCATCTCTCTCCCTCTAAGCAAGCACCATAAAAAGCCCTCAAGCGATAAATCAGTATGCAGAGAAGGTAATTGGTTCAGGTGGCCCACGTGTGTACACTGGGTCATTTTATTATGCATTTAAGGAGCCTCTGATAAAGATCCRCACCATATTTGTCAGCAGAGAGATGCATCACATTTTCCTGGCAAAGAAATATACCTTATTTGTCCAGAAAGAGATGCATCAGGTTTGAGAAGAGAGYGTTGCTCAACAGTGGGAGAAAGCTTGCAACTAGCTAGCAAAAGAAAAAAAACCGAAAAACCCCAATAGCTCGTGGTTGTACCAGTCAGGATGGCAAGACCTCTGCACAGACACATTCCATCTCCATGATGCCAACTCATCAACAAGGAACATTGCCCTGGAGGAGTCAAAGCAGAAGCCGCCTCTTGAGTCCTGACCATGACCTAGCGCCTCCATCCACTGCCATAGCACAGAAAACAGAACAGAAAGATGACAAGTGTCCAAGAGAACAGTTCCATACATACCTTATGAACCCTGCAAAGAACAGCCAGGAGTGCCAGTGAACATTCTCACAATGTGGGAGCAACAGGCAGCGCTGCTCCAGCACCTCGGGCCCAGGGGAGGACGATGCTTTYCAGGGACTGCACGTCCCAGTTGCTGCTGGAGCACTACCACTCCTGACTCTGTGAGCTCTCTGCTACATCAARCAGTGTATTTTTGTTTCTAACCTTGCTCTTCTCTTCCCCGCTTTGGGAAAGGGCAGAGAAGAGAGCTTGTGTGGAGAGATGGGAAGCAGGCAGATGGAGAGTGCCTGGGGCCCCTGGACTCTCAGGGATGTGCTGCAGCCCCACAGAAACAACAGCAGCAGCTGGGYAAAWGCCAGGAMTGGCCCAGAAAGGAAGGGCAGCAGYGAGTCCGTGATGAGATGTGCTCAAGCAGTCCATGGTCATGCWCGAACTGCCGCTGTGCTGTTTGCCAAAAGCCACGTTTCCTACGAGATGTTGCATGGGTTGATTTCCCAGACTTTAAGCACCAACACAATGGCTTTTAGTGAGCTGTTTATTTGCGAAAACAGAAACCAGACTTTTGCATTTTCAGAGAATGAGGTTTGCCTCACATTTTGTTCATATTAGTGGCTCAGTTCTTCCTAGAAAAAAGAACTGCCAGGGAAGAAACATTGAAAGAGAAGTCCTCCTCCAACATCATAAACCCATCTGCAATCCATTTCACGCTTTAATAACTCACAGTAGGGAGAAACATACATTTAATGTCAGAGATCCATAGGAACAGGCAGGTCTAAAAAAATCTAAAGAATAAAAATGRAAATGGCTTCTCAGTGCTCAAGACTCTTGGGAATAACGTCTAAGGAGATAAAAAGTAGTTTGACACTGGGTTCTGGATTTGCCCTGRTGCTCTGTGATCTGATTAGCCATTCTGCTGGGTATCAAGTCTGTGCTAAGGTCARTTAAGGATACTGTGTCATACCTAAGCCTTTACAGATCTTAGAGCTCAGGGAGATCAGCCCAGGGTTAATGACAAAGGAACACAGCTCCAGATTGCTGAAATTGTCAATGTAAGCACAGTAGTCACTGCATCAGATGGGTCAGGGTAGTTTGACCCCACAGCTAGTTAGTCAGATAACAAGGTTAACAAAAAGGRAAGCAGTGAGAGTCACCCAGAAAGCAAAGGCAATTTATAATCTGGATATTAACTGCAGCTTTAAGCTGTCTAAAAGTAGGTGCTCATCATTGCTTTAAAGGTCTGTATTGCTGCACCATAGAAATAAAGGACCATAGGAGGAAAGGTCTCACCCTGACCATCACAAAGTCAGAAACGGGTTAAAGAGTTCAAGTTATCTGCTAACCTTAGGAAAGGATGTGGTGCACAGGCAGGGCTGAGCTGTTGTGTGAAGTGTTAACAGTGCTGGGCTGGCTGGAGCCCTGTGCAAGGAGGCAGCGGCTGCAGGACTGTCCAGAGCTCCATCCRTGGGTGATATCACAACTCCATCTGCTGCAGGAAAGCACTGTGCCACCCCAGCCTTGGGGCTGCAGCTCACCTAACCTCTCCCCAGGACCAAAGGGAGATCTTTGCACAGGACTGCACCTTCCTAATCATCCTTTGTGTGCTCTTTAGTGTCACATTCTCCTTTCTATCCAGAGGAGGAATGGTGCCACAAAAGCACCACATGTTATCTCTTGAGAGCTGCACAGAACTACACAACAACTGACTTTGAGGGACATGCTGGCATGTGAAAMTGCTGCAAATCCTCCCTTGCAATGCCATTCCCACAGCAAATCCCCTGCCTCTCCAGGAAATCCCCCGCTTATCCCATATCAGGTATGTCAGATGGGTTTCTTTCCCTTACCTGAACATAATCCAAAACCATGCCTGCCAAGACCATGCCCAGCCCAGCTAGCAGGTATGGCAGGAGCACTTGCAGGCAAATTGAGATGGCTGACTCTTCCTCTGACTTTGCCACAGCTGCTTTCTCCTCAGCCAGCAGCTTCTGCTGTGCATGCAGAGAGACATCCTCTGCTTCCTGGCTGCCAAGCCGGCTCTCTCTGTGCTTGCCCTTGCTCTTCCCTTTGTGCCTCGGTCGCTCTCCATTCCTGGACTTGCCCTCTTTTCTCCTCTGCCGAACTTCCTCACCTTTCATGGTGGCTTTCTTGAGTCACAGTTTTTCTGAAAAACAAAGTCAGAAACAATGAGATAAAAAAACGAAGTATCAGGTGAGTGAGAGACAGTAAATCCTTTGGCATTCTGTAAACTCCATTCACCTGAAGGCAAACTACCACCTACTCCCCAAACCCAAGATACTCTGCCAGCCCAAACACTAGCTCTAAGTTTACCTTCAGCTTTGTACAGTGTCAAACCATCTCCCTTTCTGTAGCTGCATCTCCTCCTAGGCCTGTGTTCACACTGCAGTGCTTGCTGTGCATCCTGGCTCTTCCCCTGAGAACACCTGGAAGGATGCTGAAGGTGCTGCATATGGCCTGAACTCATGAGGCCACCACCCCTCACACTGAGAGTCACAAATTATTAGCCCATGAGAATCCAACCCTTTTCAGGATCTGACCCCCAGCCAAGAAATGGGAGCAGATGACATCCTCACATCCTGGCATCCCCAGGCCAGCACAGGAGCAGCATCCCGATGAGTACCATGCATATCACCTAGCCCAGCTGTCCACCACTCTTCAATAACAAGATAATTCCTTGATCTTTGTCTAATCCAGATACTTTTCCTTCCTTTTGTGCCTTGCTTGACACGCACACACTAGATGACTCATCTATCTACAGGGAAGTTGCCATGACCCCACAGCATCTTATCAGAAAAAATAAAYATGCAAAATTCTTACCAGTAGCCCTTTTGCTGCCATCAGATCTCATTTCTTGATAGACCTGTCGTTCATACTGCCTGTCCTACTGCTGGCCCAGGTATTGCCCTCGATCCGTCACCCATCACCTCCCGCCAGCCCTCATCTGGATTAACCTTTGCCAGATGTTCTCTGATGCTCTCATTGACCCCGAGGCCCCGCGTTACCCCAGGTGGGACCAGCCCTCTTCTCGCCCAACATCTGGCGAGCAGAGGAAACAGCTGGGAGGCCCCAATCACGGCTGGGGAGAGGAGAGGAGGGGAGGAAGGGGAGGGATGGAGGGAGGATGGGCGAGGCAAAGCCCCGCCGT